TTGTAGATGTGAGAATACTTCTCTTTTTGATAATAAAATAATAGGCTTGTGGGTAATAGTAATTTTTTTCCTACATGAATGATGTCTTGCTTTGTCACATCAATATATATATTATACCATTTTCACATTTTAGATTGTTATTAACTTGGCTGACTCTAAATATTGTCATTTTTGAATAAGCTTATTTACTTTTAACTAATATAAAGTCTTTACATCTAACTCAACAGAAAGATTCTGTAGAATAATGCTGTTATGCCCAATGATAAATTAATCTCCAAAATAATATAATATTCCTATTTGTGCACAATACTTATTTGCTTATTTACCATGATTTCTATGACAAATATTTTGTATCTTGCAATCCTCTTAACATTAGAAACAATGCTAAAATAATGAGCTAGAGTTTTTAAAAAGTTAATCTTGCACATTAGTGATGACCATGAAAATTGTAATTTTAAAGTTGTCATAATTACTTTAAATTATTTGTTATATACAAATATGTATATATGCTATATTAATTAGTCTAAAATGTTTCGTTTTTAATGTTTTCTAGTATATTTTATCATGTATTTATACTTCAGTTATGCAGTTAACGCCCAGAAAATCTGTAGATATTCAAGATATTTTAACAAAAATAAAATGATTCTGCTGGGTATTTTTTTTTTTTTTTTTTTTTTTTTTTTTTGAGACAGGGTCTCACTATGTCACCCAGACTGGAGTGCAATGGTATGATCACAGCTCACTGCAGCCTCGACCTCCTGAGTTCAAGCATTCCTCCCACTTTAGCCTCCTGAACAACTAGGACTATAAGTGTTTGCCACCACACCCGCTAGTTTTTTTTGTATTTTTTGTAGATATAGGGTTTCACCATGTTACCCAGTCTGGTCTCAAATGCCTAAGCTCAAGCCATCTGTCTGCCTCAGCATCTGAAAGTGCTGGGATTACAGACATGAGCCACTGTGTCTGGCACTTCTGCTATTCATCAGCTTATTCTATAAAGTATGGATATAGAGAAGTCATTTCTTGCCCCAAACCTGGGACTATACTTGTCCCTCAGAGATATATCCAATTTTTTTAAATTTAAGATGTCAGCTTTATAAAGGAAAAGAATAATTCCTAAGTAGCTTTACTTTTTACAAGTTTACTTTTCAAGAAACCTATTACATTTACTTATGACATCTTTCCAATATAAACATGAAATAAGTCTGATTTAATACAGACTACGTTCTGAGTTACATATTGGGAAAATTTTCATTGATTTCTGAGTTTTAGTATTCTTAGTATTTATCATACCTCTAGAGATACTCTACATTGAGCTTAGTTTGATCTGGAGTTGTATCATTGTGAAAGATATGGATGGATGGATGGATGGATGGATGGATGGATGGCAATAACATTGGATTATAGACAAGAGTGCCCACTGACCTCTTCTTCCCTAATAGAGGGAAATCCCTTGCAAGACAGTTCCCTTGCATACAATCCCTTGCATACAAATCCCTTGTCCTTTCATTGAATTAGGAAACCTAAAGTACATCGCAAAACTGATAAAATAGGTAGGAAGTTGCATCAAATACTTGGAAATTTTTAAAAATATTTTATGAGCAACTATGTTGACCTGAAAAAATGATTCAAAACTGACAACTTCGCTGAATGATTATAAAATAATTTTTCCCTTAGAATGACTGAAAATAAATACTAAATCACATTCTTTCAGTTTTAGTTTTTCTTATGCATAAAGATTGCTATTTAAGACAAAAGTCTTCTAAATTGTTTTCTTTATTGTGGCCTATTGTCAGTTCATCCTCATCTCAAAATCTGCATATGCTAATAATGTGCTTTTAAGACTGGGTTGTTAACAATAGTATGTATTGTTATAACATTGTTAGTCAACACAAATTAGTGGAGGAGCTGATACACAGTATCCTTTGTGAATGCATGCAGTTTAGAATAACAGCCATTAGATAATAATGGACAGTAGCCTAGATCAATTCAAGTGCAAAAAAAATTAACTATAAATAGAGATTAGAAAATGTAAACTATTCAAAAAGATGTAACAGTGATAGATATTAAATCACTTTTTAAAAGACAATGGAATTATTTACATAAGAAAGATTTAAATTTACAGGTGAGGGGGCCCTAGCTTTTTCAGTGACTTATCCTTTGGTAATCTGATAAAACCGTGGCCACTGTTTTTGGAATAATATTTTATATGCATAACATAAACTAAGGTAAATAAAATGGTTACAGAAGAAACGACTTATATTGAAATAAAGACTCCAAGTTAAGAACCCCAAGTGGGCCCTAAAATATTTTAAGCCTTGCAAGTGTTTATTATTTCCCACTTTTCAGTTGCTACTATTCAAAATTAATTATATATTCTCATCTTTAAATTAAAACAAATTCAGAATTTTGGTGGGAGTTTGTGAGTGTTATATCTCAATCCCTTTAAGGGGCCTGATAAAAGACTGGGTAATTTAGGCATTACTACTTTAAATTTTCATAGCAGTAACATTGTGTCTAAGCTAGTCAGACCTATTTTTATCCAATGTGGGAGCAGGAGCCTGTGTCAGCCTTCTCTTTTGTGCTGTTAAATTTTAAAATACAGTAGCTTTCCATTCCCCTTAACTGTGATGGAACATTTGGGGAAATGTCTACCTTCTACTGTGGTTCTTTTCATTTTTCATTTATTAACCTATTTTCATTTCACACTATGGTATTTATTTAATATATACTTTGTATTTATGGGCAAAACTATGTAAGTAAAATGTAAAAGATGGGTTAATTTTCAAACAACTTTTTTATAAAGAGACATTTTTTGTAAGGGCTACTTCCTAAGGAGTGACCTCTGTTTTATAAATAATGGTCTCCTTTTGAGGACATAGGACATAGCAACACATTTAAAATAATTCTGTGGTTTTCACTCATTATCATATTTTTCAATTATTAAAAATGATTCTTCACAAAGAAGTGAAACTGCATATCCTAACATTTACTCCACTTTCCACTTGGAAAAATTTCTTGATGGAATCAGAATAAATTAAATTATATATAAACACATGAAATATTAGTCTAATTTTCTGTTAGGGTAATTGTAGCTATTTCCCAAAGTTTTGTTATATAATAAGATGTTTATTATTAATGTAAGATAAATATTTAAAATAAATGTAAAGATGGATACTCTTAAAAAATAGGTTTTAAGCAATTTAAGAAATGATATATAAAGAGATATACCTTTTGTTTCTGTTCATTATGATGAAGATATATAAAGATGTTAGACTAAAAACGTGTAGCAAACTACTGAAGACACTTATTTCTAAAGAAAAGTGTTCTTTAATGAGAACACTTGGACACAGGAGGGGGAACATTTGGGTTGGGGGAGGGGGGAGGGATAGCATTAGGAGATACACCTAATGTAAATGATGAGTTAATGGGTGCAGCACACCAACATGGCACATGTATACACATGTAACAAACCTGCATGTTGTGCACATGTACCCTAGAACATTAAGTATAATAAAAAAAAAAGTGTTCTTTTAAAATAGTTTTTCAGAAACAAAAAGACAGCTATGATATTTACACTATGAGGTTACCTTTTCATTTCTCTTGCCATGTAACTGTTACTAGTAATTAAATATTTTTTATATATTTACATTTAATGTCAGTTATTTTGACATATTCTGGATGCACTTATATGAAAATACTGAACTTAGATAGTAAATCACATGATAGTATATGGATTTAAAAGTATTTAAAAATGCTCTGACTTATATGTTACCCTATGACTTTAAAATGTTAAATAATCACAAGATATGGTGTAGAATAAAGCCAATATTCACTTTCTAAAGTCACCTAATCTAATATCAGCTAGTACACAATTATTTGCCATATAATTCATGACATTTGGGAAATTATGTCCTTTTTTTCTTTTTTTTTTTAAATTACTTGCATTTTTCATTATCCAAAATAAGGTTGAGATAACTTACAGGTAAAGTGGATGTCATTGAAACATTAGCTTTGAGGGAGACTAACGCTTTCTTGACTGTCGGTATTATATAAGCATGTCCATTTTTGTGCTTACAACTGGATAGGGAGGAATAATTTTATTTGAAATATACTTTGGCATGTTTTACTTTGGAATTCTGGAGCCAAAGCTAGTGTTTTTAAAGTCATCTCCCAAATTGTGGGGCTGGTATTAGAAAACATTTATTGATCATGTTAGATGTAAAAGTATTATGCTAGGTTCCAGGGATAGAAAGGTCAACAATGAGAGGTTGCTTAAATTTAAGGATACTTCCTTCAACAAGGATTAAGTTTTGGTATTAGATTTATTTGTGGTCAAAGAGATCATGTTGTTTCAGAATTATTGTTTCAGTTAATACCCATTCTGAATTGAATCAGTTGGCATAGCTAAAGTGCACCGAGATAGCCAGTTAACCAGTTTTCTACAGGGTAATTTTTCTTGTGGATCAGGTTTAAATATGGCTACAGACTTCAAAGTCACCCTATTTTCTTATAACCTCATTTTGATTCTTCTGTTTAAATGTTCAGGTGTATAGTGTTTTCTGAAAGCCTTTTTATATCTTAGTTGGTATAGTACTAAACAGCTTCAGGTGCTACAGAATTAATGCTTATATGGTTTTCTTCACTCTTGAAAATGTTAGGAAAAGTCATTGAATTCTTTAAAATAGAATAATTCACATATTTCACGTATTCCATTTTGGGAATTCATTTTGGAAAGCAAGCAGTTTTGTTTGTTGTTTTTTTATGACTGAGCGACTATTATCTTTGCTGGAAATTACTTTGAAAGGCAGATTTGGTTTTTTAGAAATTCTTAAGAAGTTTCATTTGAAATTGCTCAGAATATGTTGGGGAAAAGAAAAATTTTTACATACTCCATAATTTTAAACAGTTACCTTTTTCAAAATCAGTTTGATGCATCATAACCAAATAGCAGAAGGGCACGAAAGATCAACTGAGCTGCTTTTTGACTAACGTTTCAGGGATTGTGAAGCAGCAGATAGACAGCCATATCACAGATCCAGATCAACAGAACAACGGCCTCTCCTTGAGCGGACCACCACCCGCTCCAGATCCACTGAACGTCCTGATACAAACCTCATGAGGTCGATGCCTTCATTAATGACTGGAAGATCTGCCCCTCCTTCACCTGCCTTATCGAGGTGAAAGATAAATCAATCAGACTAATTTCCCCTTTGCCCCACCAGCACACCATTTTATTTTCCCAGCAACTAAATGGTCTCTTCTATCATCTTTGGCTGATCACTAGTAATAATCGATACTAACCTTTCAATGTAAACACACTATTTATATTCAGTGGATATAATAGTGTGTGGCTACCATTGTAATTTGTTTATTAACTGTCCTGACTGCATTTGTTTTGTGATTTCTCATTAATCAGGAGTCCTGGGTAAATTCCGTCATTAACTGTCATGTTCCTCTCCTACAGAATGAGAAACTATTTGTGTCCATTACACATCACTTTTCAAATCATCATAATGATTACAAATAAAACTAGATGTTTTAGTTTCTATCGATACTACTGTTATGTATTAACCAATATTTTCCTTAGTTAAATCTTGAATTGTTCAGGGTTTTATTTGTAGTTTCATGAGATGTTTTCTAATAAAGGGATATTTAATATAAGCCTGAGTAAAAATCTCTGGATCAAGGGAGAAAGGTTAGTGTTGAAAATTTGAAATCTGGTAGAAAGAAAAGTACAGTCTTTTCTTTCTTGATCTGCGAAATTGTCCTCTTGCTTTCAATGGATAGAGTACCAATTTACATTAATAATTCCATGGATTTTACTGTAGGGTTTTGTGTGCATGTATGTGTATGTATGCATATTACACCAAAAATAAACATCTTTTGCTATTTAATCATTCAGATATCCATATTTTGTCTAGTTTTCCTAACCTTTTAATCTGCAGCCAAACTTCTTTTTAAATTGTATTTATACAGCTATCATATGAACCAAATATAGGTATTAAAAATATGTAACTCATTATACTGAAAATTAATATTAATTGTGTGTCTTTAGGTCTCATCCTCGTTCTGGGTCTGTCCAGACAAGCCCATCAAGTACTCCAGTGGCAGGACGAAGGGGCCGACAGCTTCCACAGCTTCCACCAAAGGGAACATTGGATAGAAGTAAGTTTTATTTCTAATTATGTCGTTTAGGAAATACACATGGAAGCTAAGGTGAATCAAGATTTTCTTACTTTTGTGTTAGTTTTCTTCTTTTGTTAATTGTATGCCTTGTCTTATTTGATAATAGTTATATTTATAAATATTATGTATTTTTGCATAAAAATTTGTAATATTTCCAGGTAAAATAAGGTATCTTTATTGCTCTTGCACATTTTTAAATTTGAATAAATGCATCTTAAAAAGTAAACATAATACTCTTAAATGAGCTGTTGGATAATATTTCTTTGCCACAACTAAGTTTATGTAATTGTTGATAGTTATATAAAGTTTATTAGTAACTAGCCAAATCAATTTTCACACACTGCAAAGGACTGGTTAGCTGATGCACAACAATGGTGATCCTTCTCAATACTGGAGAACAAGAAAAAGGTAATCATGAATATACAATGAAAGATGCATGTTGTACTGATGTTTTTATTAATTTTACATTTTTGCATAAAAAGCACTATTTGCTGACACACACATGAACATACTTCCCAAACTTCTATAAATTCTTGGATAAAGGACCTCTAAAAGCATGGATAACTGAATATAACGGTTTTTAAGATCATTTTTTCAATGATCCCTTTATTTAGTAACTGGATGTGTTTTGCAAATAATACATATATATTTAAATTATTTAACTTTTCTCTAGTAGATAATACATTCTGTGCCTTTGGAAATTTCTGTTGTTTTTAACCCCTGTGCTTTGGTTCCCTTTTTTTCCTTTTTTTTTTTTCTTTTGTTTTTGTTTTGTTTTTTATTTTTATTTTGTTTCCCTAGACAATGGAGTCAAGGAGATAGAACCTTATGAAGGTCTGTACATAAAGGAGGGTTTGTTTTGTGCTAACAGCCTTTTTGGGGAGCTAGTAAGCAAAAATAAACCCAACTGCAATTGATGTCCCTTTGTTGTATAGACTTATATACAGTAAAATTATTTTGTTTTATGATATCTGACAAAGTATTCAACTTTTTTTTTTAACTTGGAAATTATACCAAGGAGTTAAATTTCTTTGATTGATCAAATAAGAATGCAAGGAGTTTAACTTCTTTTAAATGACCAGATAAAATGTGCTCTTTCATAACATTTTTATGTACCTTTTAACCAGAATACTAGATTTTGAGTAAGACTTGAACCAAAGATATCAATTGCAGTCTACGTTTACATCATTGAGGATGTACACATAGTTTAGTTATATTTATCATCATATATTTCATTTTTTATTTATGATGATGTTTTTAATTATTAAATTTGGCTTTCTAGAAAATAAAGTTGTTGAATTAGATAGTGATTGTGGCTTGTGTTTCCAACATCATTTTTCATGTAGCAAGACTGCTTACAGTATATCAGAGTTAAATATGATACAGTTTTGTTATCAAACACTACATTATGACTCAGAAGAAAATACTGAATGGTGATATATGGAGTGTCATACATTTGCTAGATCAATACAAAATCATCTGCCTGTTATGGAAATCTGAAATTAACTTTGTATCTTTAAAAACTTGTTGACTGTTTACTGATGAATCTCTAGCACATAGAATAATGCCTGGCACATTGTAGACCCTCAATAAATCTTTGTTGAATAAATTCATGAAATATTTATTTAAAAAGGGAAAAGCTACCTCAAATAGTATACAAAGTACCACTACAATAATCTTGTCATTCTATATATGTTTATATTAAAATTCATATTTCTGTAAACTATTTGTAACAAATTTGTAAGTGTGCTGCATTTGAGCAGCAATACTTTTATACCCTTATATAACTTGTTGATATAAGTTGTGTTCTTGTTAACTGGATGATGGTCAACTTCTGTTTTGTCATTCTTTCTATTTCCAAGTACCATAATTTTGAACAATCCAGTGATATTGTGACTGATGGTCTATTATGCTGCCTGATAAAAAACTTCACAACATTTTTATAGTTCTTAATTATTTGCATAAAATTGGGGGCATAGAATTTTAAATCACTTTTCCTAAGGAAAGTTTAGTAATATTTATGTAACTTTTTTTCTCTTCAGTGTTTTTAACGATGGAGTTTCGACATCATTTATTGGCATATAAAGTCAGAAACTATCATTTGTGCACATTTTTAAAATTGAATTTTTAATGTCATTTATAGCAATAGACTGTTGAAATACAAGTAGCTCTATTCTTTGTAATAGTAAGTATACTAGAAAACAGAGCCTATTGGTGATGCTGAAAGTCAGGGTTGGTGAAGTTTCTGATGGGCACTCAGTAAAGATTCTCTTTACTATTGTTTTTGACCCTATAAAATTAATTAAAACCAAAATTTTCCTTTAAAGTCCCCAATTGTGATTTTTCCATTTTTTTAATTTCATAAAAGAAAGAGGAGCCAAAACCTCCCTTACCCTTTTTAGTATGAAATAAAAGGGGTTTTGTTTTATAGTTTTGTTTTATATAAAAGTATGGATGATTTTTAAAAGTGTTTTTATAAATGCTGATATGGAGACTTCAGTAGATTATGCAAACTTTTTTAGTTTTAAAGAAGATATATAATATCTCTTTTAGAAATCTCAACTTCAGTTAATCTTCAGTAAGTAGCACAAAATAGACTTACCAGTTGATGGTCTAAATCAAATTATGTTTGGATTATCACCTAAAAAGTTAATTGTGAGAAGTTGTAATTTAATGGCATTATTTTAGAATTAAAGTATTGAAATATTTATTTTCAAATCCTTTTCGACAGCCAACATATGACCGAGTCATACTTTAACTCTTTATGATTTTGATTATTTTATATTTTAGTCTTATGTATTTAGCCACTTATCTTTGTTTAGAACCAGAGAAGTAAAATAAGAATAATATAGAAAGCACAATGTACTAAAAAACTATAAGGCATTGTTATTTTATTTTTCCCTTTTATGTACTGCTATTTTGTAAAATGTCATGTTCTCTTTTTCTAGAAGAAAAATTATATAACTTTAGTAATATACCAAGTTTATATATAAAGTATTTTGCCTACTTTACCCAGTTATCCACATATTACAAATATTTTAAAAGTCACAGTTTCTCTTTTACAAAGTCATCATAAAAGCAGACAATGTGATAATTAACCAGTAAATTTATTTACTTTTCTATAGCATGTCAGAAACTTATTAAAAGTAATCTGTTGGGCCAGGTGCAGTGACTCCTGTGGCTCACATCTGTAATCCCAGCACTTTGGGAGGCTGAGGCGGGTGGATCGCTTGAGCTTGGGAGTTCAAGACCAACCTGGGTAACGTGGTGAAACCCCATCGCTACAAAAATTACAAAATTAGCCAGGCATGGTGGTGCACTCCCATAGTCCCAACTACTCAGGAGGCTGAGGTGGGAGGATCACTTGAGCCCAGGAGACGCAGGTTGCAGTGAGCTGTTATTGTGCCACTGCACTCCAGCCTGGATGATAGTGAGACTCTGTTTCTAAATAAATAAATAAATAAATAAATAAATAAATAAATAAATATTGGTGTATTTATCATTCTGAATAATTTAGAATTTTTTATTTGTTTAGTTTCTTTGAAGAGTAACAGATACACCTATTTGGTCTTACATTTTTCTTTACCCTTGCTTATGCAAGTACAGAAGTTAATGAAGAAACTGAGCATGTGGAAGAGCAGGGGGAAGAAAAGCAGGGAGAAGAGGTCAAGGCAGGTCTGTCTGACTGCGTATCTAAAATAAATAAGCGAATGTTTTCAAATATGACTTTTCAATTTTACATAAGACTTTAGGCTCCAAATTTATAACTGCACAATGAGGAATAGATTGTTTTTCAGCACTAACTTTAAGATAAATTACCTAATTTTATTAATGAATGGGTATTACTTAAGCTATCTAGGCAATTTGTCAGAATATGTAATTTACCCAACTGGCTAAATATTTTCCCTGATGTTTAAATCAAACTAGAATTATAGATAGTGCCCCTGACCAAGATATATACCTACCCTTTACCCAGCTTTACATTCATTTGTTTATTCAAAAAAATTTAATGAGTACCTACTAGAAAACTATATTTTATCATGTGTTGTGGTGAGTAAAGGTTTTTTGAAGCTTTAGCACCTTCTCCCATGGATTTTGAATCTAGTAGAAGCAAATTATAAAGAAATATAGAGCAGAATATAAATTCCATTAAAACATTTATAGACCATGATCATTTTTTCCATTATATTTTTTTCCTAAAGTAAAGCAATTATAGGTTTCTCTTCTTCATCCCAGTTCAATATTACTCTAATATTTATTGTCAATCATAATTTCTCCCCATCTTTCTAAATGAAATGCATACCTTTTATTTTTGTTGTTTTTAAAGTCCCTATTATGTTTATCTATCATAATGTTTAATGTTGGTGAAAGGATTTTAAAACTTAAAAGATTCCAGCCTAGCCAACATGGCGAAACCCCATCTCTACTAAAAATAAAAAAATTAGCTGGGCATGGTGGTATGCGCCTGTAGTCCCAGCTACCTGGCAGGCCAAAGCAGGAGAATCGCTTGAACCCGAAAGGCAGAGGTTACAGTGAGCCAAGATCATGCCACTGCACTCCAGCCTGGGCAACAGAGCGAGACTCTGTCTCAAAAAAGTTAAAACATTATATAATCAGTAAATCAGTGTATTTTTATATACTACCTTTATCAAATTTTCACTATTTTTATTTGAAACTCAGAATTGAATACTAATCTTATCCAATTGTCAAGTTTAATTGTAACTTTCTTTGAATAATACAGAATATCTTTAATTTTATCAAGTGTTTAACTGACCACTTTTTATTTATGAATAATAGAGTGTTATTTTTATGCCTTTTTTTCCTCTGCTTTCCATGGTGTGAAAGCAATACCATTACGTATATTATACCTAAGATATATTTTCATGGAAGCATTCTTTCAGTGGAGTTTTTAGTTTTACAACTGAAAACATCTCTTAAGCTACTAGAATTGCTCATTATCAGTAACTTTTCAATGTCGTAAAGGTGACAAATATCAAAGTCATCTGATAATGGAAACAGGCAAGTTTAATTGCATATTTCTAGACATATAGAATTGCTTGGGTTCTGAATATCTAGTATCTAACTTCTAGAATGTCATTTTTCTTCCATTTTCCTGGAATAATTTAGGAATCACATTTTTATGGAATACTATAAGAATGAATTTCATTTTAGCTTAGCTGTTAATGTTTTCCCATTAGCTCATTCCTCTGCATCTCATATAGTCCATACAAACACTGCAGCCTTTCACCCCATTAATTGTCTTCCACATTAAAGTCATTTTTTAAGATAGCATTAGTTTGGGGACTTCAGCAATAGTTAATATCACTTTTCCTTATTTTAAATTAATTAAGATAAAGACGCCCATGTGCTAAACCAGTTTGTTGCTGGTGTTTTATTGTCAAAAGTAATTAGTAAGTTGCATCAGTTTTTAAATTAACATAAAAGCATAACTATATACTATAAAAATGATTTTTCACTTATTTGGTTTTTATTAATTCTCCTATGAGATAGGAAGTATATACTTTTCTCTTGTGTTCATTAATATGGGATGTCATGTGTAGTGCATGGATTTGTTTCCCTATTGTGTGATTTCATCTTTTTTGATGTGCTTTGTTTTTATTTTGGTTATTAATGATCTTAATCATTAATCACTATAATAACTTAATCATTAATCTGTTTTCAATATTATAAAGACAATGAGGGAGAAACACCAACACCACCTACTAATGGGAAAAAAGGCAAGTCTTAAAATGAAGTTTATGGTGCCTTTCTAGATATTAAACACTCCGTATTGACATTTGTAATATACTTGAATTGCTTTTTAAAATAAGCAT